GGGGGGGGGGGGGGGGGGGGGGGGGTGGTTGGAAAGAACGCTAGAAGCTCAAAGAAGCTAAGCCAGCCCGGTACTGACCGGGCATAATTTGCAGGCGGTCAATTCCCTGGCGCTCGAAATCGGCGATTACCTCATACGCCCTCCGCTGCTTCTCGGGCGCCCAGCTCTGAATAATGTGCAAAATATCGATTCCTGATGGGTTTAAAGATTTAATTCTGACATACTCCTCATCGCCGAGCACAGATTTATGCATAGCAGCGAAATCAATGACGGGTACTGTGAGGGTTCCGTCCATGTCGAAGACCACCCCCCGGAGGCGCCCCCGGGGGGCAGAGACGGTAGAGGAGAAATTGGGCATGGGAAATGAATAGCGGTGCGGAGAAGAGGGGTGGTGGCATGATGAGTAGAGTGATAGCGTTGAGTGAATGGTGGAGAAAGCAGACAGGAGGAAGATCCGATTGCGGCCCGCAGCCCGACATATCGGGTTGAATACTGGGCTCCATTTCAAATTCAACCATCCTGATGACGACAACCTCATTATCCCCATTTTCCAGAAACTGGTGAAGCCGTTCTCAAATTAGGTCTTTTATCTCTGTCATTTTTTAGAAATTCTATACAAAATAATATTTTTATCTCTAGACTTTTTAAATCTAGTGGGTAAGATTATTTATCAAACATTAACTAATAATTAATAAGTGAGTCGTAAGTAGTATGAAATAAAGTATACATCTACGAGTGATTGTTACAAAAACACAGTTTATGTTAGAGAAGTGTTAAAAAATCTGGTGATCCGAAGAACTCAATCAACTTAACACAAGTTAACCTCATTCCTTGCTGGAACAAGAGAGTCCACTTCGAATTGAATCACCCAGTCCTAGACTTATACTTCTTCGGGAGATGCCCAACGGTTTGGTTGCGTTGTTGTTCATGGCCTCGGTGGCAGTGGCTTCTGAAGAACGCTAGAACCCCACAACAAGACTATACAAAACAATTTAGAAATTGAATTGTGGTCCAGGAGCATTTTGAGGTGACTTAGACATTTTAGTTTCCTTTATCACACTAGTATTGCTTTAGCATTAAAAATGCATTTTAGTCACGTCTCAACTTCGTCAATTCATCAACTATGAAAGTATCGTTGATTCTTTAGACTCTCCCTCTTTATATTTAACAATTGGTGGTAATATCTAAGCATCAATTTCTACAATACTTTCTTGAGAATGATTATTGACTCGATAGATTGAACTATTATAAGTTGATGACAACGTACTAGTAAAATAATACTGAGAATTCTTTTTGTCAAGGATATTTAGTAATAAATTATAGTTTACCATATATATTATATTTGATATTTTATTATAAGTCAAATATTTCATAGGTATCTTTCCATTTATTGTTATTTCCATTTATTACTATTTCCATATTCTTGTAATTCATTTGATTATAAATAAGATAACTTTCACACCATTTAGGTGTGGTGGATTAATCAAACATTCACACCTTTGTAAGGAGATTTAACAAGACACTAAACATTTAAACATTTAGAAGGAGAGAAGAAACTAGTTTCTAATCTTGCAGCATATATGACATAGAACAAATAAATGGATATCAATTCTGAAGCTGCAGATATTAAACATGACAAAAGTGTACAATTAGCCCAAGTTGACAAAGGAATGAAAGAATTTAAAGCGCAAGAACATAGTCAAAATTGTTGAGCAAAGTTTCTGTTTAGTATATCTAACTTGACAAGCAGCCCATTCAATGAGTCATGAAGGTTTGAGCTTTAAATCCTCTACTCTCTGTCAATACCCTCAACTCCATGGTTCATCTTTGATTTGCAGACAATTAAGTAATTCTGTCGAAATCAAGCAAAGAATCAAATGAAAAAACGATGGAAGTAACTAGTGGAGCATTTGGTTCAGGAATTTCGTCGAACAGTTTGGATGCAACCACTTACAGTGAACCATAAACACACCACTACAAATACGAATACGAGTCAACTTCAAGAATCAAACAGAAATTAAACTAAGCAGCTCATACAATAAACTCAGAACTAATTTCAGCGATTTTCTTTGCACGATGGATTAGAAACCAAACAATCTTTAAAAAAACCTAAAATGTTTATATTGAAAAATCGAATTACGAGAGTCAAAGCAAAGTAAAAGTAATTTGGAGGCTTAAGATTCGGAAAGTAAACTACAACTCACGATCAAATTTGCTAACCTTCTTCATCGCCACCGGAGCTCGGCTGCTACGGCAGCATTGCCGGAATTTGCAGACGGAGCTATCTTTACACGATTTCTATGGATCGAAATATGTTTTTGGTTTCCATCTTTTCTAACTAATCTTAATTTCAAACTAACATTAAAATTATTTTCACAATATTGTTACATATAAAAACTGAGATTTTCACGTTATGACAATTTTGTAGGGATAATTTAAATATTTAGAAAAAAAAAAAAAAAAAAAAAATCTCTCCACTTTCAATTTATTTTTCAAAATAATTTATTAACTTTAAAATATAAATAACAAATATAAAAATCTAATAATTGTTTTATTAATTAAAAAAAAAAAAAAAAAAAAAAAAA